ATTATTATTTACTATTATTAATTACTGTGAACCATTCCAGTGGTAGCAACTTACCTTTCCATTTGTGGTTTTCTTTTGCACTGTTTTTTGTTATGAAATGATGTAAGCTAATTCCATGGTGTGTGTATATAAATTGTATTTTTTTTAAATTTGTATGAATATATTTTTATTTGAACTATGGCACTTGGGAAGTATTCATGTAGCTGTAACATGTCTGAGAGTAAAATGTTTGTGTGTCTCCTTCAGCACTTTCAAGGCCTTTTGATGTTTCTAGTATTGTTTTATTTTTGCCCTTTATGATAATAAAACTAGTAGAACATGGCAACATCCAAGAGAATGATTTGAAGTAGTTGAGTAGCTGCTATTTGTGAGTTGTGTGGATCTAACAGTTTGTGCAGAAGGTGCCCTGAGCCAGGCAGAGAGGAATGGCTGTGATCCATTAGGTTGTGACCACTGGAGTTCCACATTCTCACAACAGCTGTTTCAAAGGAGGGAATTGCCATGTTTGATAAGGAGATAAATTGTGCACATTGTGCTGCTTTTCTTACCTGGGAACTCACCTTCCTCCCAGTAAGTTTATGAAAGAGGTTTAGACTACAGTGTGGCACCTCTTGTTTTACCTCTCCAGGATGTGAAAGATCTTAATTCCATCTTTAATGTTTATTTAATTTGTGGCTATCTTTCCTGCTGTGTCCTGCTGTCTGCCTTACAGAAAAGAATTTGTGACAATTTTTGAGTTTTCATCACATGCTTACAGCCAAAAAATACAAGTCTTTGAGCACTATAGAAATAATCTGACCCAAAAAGCTCACTGCCTTTCCATGTTTCTGTGCATCAGGGGGCTGTGTTGCACAGGATGCACGTGGTAGCTTTCTGAGGCTCTGTAACACAGAGTTAGCCAGCAGCTTGTCTGCCTCCTGCCCTCTGGCTCTCCCTTGGTGGGTATATCATGCCAGGGAAAGCCTGAGTTAGGTAAAACCATCTCTTGGGAGGGAATGGCAGAAAATCTGATTTGAGGAGCTGAAGAAGTGCCACAGTGGTCTTAACTAAGCAAGGAATAGGAGGGATACCCTAGCAGGGGTAGGAAGGAGTCATCAGGAGAAAGGACTGGGGGAACTGCTTCAGCTCTGTGCTGCCTTTGGTCATAAATGCAGCAACACAGGAGGGAATGGGAGAGGTTTATAGATTTGTTGAGTCCAACCATGTCCCTGTAACGACACACTGGGGCCCTAGCAGAAAAAAATTATTGGTGTCCAGTGAGATTATTATTATTTTTTAAATTTTTGCTTTGCTAGCAGGATACAAGCTGCCTCTTCAGTGTGTGTGCATCCTCACAGGCATGTGCATTCCCAGTTGTGATCATGCAGCAGGCACTGGAAGGAACAGAGGATGGCTGCCCAGAGCTTTGGCTGTTGCAGGGGTGGAAGGAGAGAGGGAAGCTGCTCTTCTTGTCCAGGGTGCTGAAGGGCTTTTCAGCGGCAGTGGGACACACTCAGCCTCCTCTGCATCCACTGCTCAAATGCAGTGTCTGAAAAGGCTTCCTGGGAGCTGGGATGAGACATCAGTGAGCTCCACTGCTGTCTGGGAAGGAAGGGGAGTCAGTCAGTGAGGTCTGGAGATTGAGATCATGGTTTAAAAGTGAGCAGGATGACCCTTTCTCCAGGCTGCTTCAATTCCTGTATGGACTATGTATGGTTTAACACACATCTTACTGATCCTCTAAGCATTTTGGAGCTGAGACTGGAACCCATATATACAGTTTCAGTAGAAAACAATACTGTGTTGAAAACTTACGACAAACAGATCAGACATGACAACTCTGAGACCTTTGTTGACTCCCCCAGCAGCTTTTTGTTGCCTATATCAACAGAGAGAATGTCTCTCTGGGATGTCTGAATTAACACACCAGTTTTATCTTTCCTTTCTATCCTCCCAATTCCCAGCATGACTGGCCTGACTCTAGCTGCCTTCTGTTTTCATAAACTTCTCCTCCTCCCCACTCTGCTCTTTAAGTACAGGATTGTGCTGGTTTTCCAAGAGAGCAGTCAGGAGATGGTAATAGAGGGGAGACATTCTTACAAATCTTCCTTCCTTCCCACATAAAAGTGCAGGACACACTTATCAAGCAGATGTCAATCAGCAAAGGCCTTTGGGGGCCAAGATTCAGGGGAAGTAAATCAAGCAAGCTGGCTGCAGCCAGATTGGGATGTGACCTGGCACAGCTCCACGTCTCCCTGCAGCACTGGGAGGGTGTGTGCCCTGGACTTCACATAGGATTTCTTAGAGAAACCCAGCAGTGCTGACAGCTCCTCTTGGCAATCTTGCCTACCAACTTGGATTTCAGTGGAAGCATTTGGTTTAGTGAGAGGCTGGATAGGGATAGTGCAGTGTCTGAGGGGGCAAAGAAATCACTAAATCTAATTTGCAAATATACCCCATGCCAAGCAGACCCCTATTCCAAACAAGGCTCATGCCTTACAGAATGCATGGAGCACACTAATGGAATTACTGTTTCAGAAACCAAAGCAAAGCAAGCTGCTGAATTATGCAGGGCCCATCATGGGTGCTGCCAAACGCTGTTAGGAAGTTAGAATGAAGTCTGGCAGGGCAGGAGGTGGCAAATGTCACGATAGCTCTGTGGAGGGTGTTAGCCTGGTCTCTTCCCTGGTCCTACTGGGATATTGCTTCATTTACACGATGGCTGTTCCCAGGATTGTTCCCTGCTCTCTCTGATCCAGCTCTCATAGCAACAGTGGCAACTTTTTTTCATCCTTAGGGGTGATGTTTGCCTGTAGAGCTGATCACTGTCCAGTTTCTCCCATTCAGCTTTTCCCAGTGCTTACTCCTGAGCACAGCACTATTCTGACCTGGCTGTGAGATTTCCCTGAGGGTGCTTTACAGCTCAGTGTGTGTATGGGAGTAGCAGTAAAAATCCAGTCAGAAATGGTTTTTTCCTCGATTGCTTACCCTCAATTAGGTTCTCCCAGACCTCAGGGTCTATTAACATACTGTCTGCAAGCCAATACAGACTTGTTCCACCAGGAACTGGCTTGCTGTTAATACTGAACCCACCTGGCTTTAGGTCAGGCAGCATTGCCTCTTCTTGCCATTTTTAGCACATTCCACTGAACTAATCAGTGTTTTGTGCCTTGAGGGGCTGACAGGGAGGGACAATTTACAGTGTCTGTGCAAGTTGTGCTTGACTGGGTAAAATTCAGCTCCAGCAAGAGCTATTGTTAGAGTACATGAATTGTTTCTACTTTCAGCAGCACAGGGGAAGTCAGGCTGTTTCCCATTGCTGGTGTGGAGGGGTCCATCTGCATGTTCCCATCGGGCTGCAGTGGGTGTGTTTGGAAAGCCTTTTTAGAAGACAAAGCTCCATTGTCCCCACAAGGGCTCCCCAAAGGGTGACTTCACACCCCCTTGATCTGTGAAACTGCTTAAATGCAAAGTCACTGTAGCTTTCACTGCAGAGATTTCCCATGGATACTGCTGGGAACCTTAACCTGGGTATTTATTTATTTTTCTTTCAGGGAAATCTGTGTGGACACTATTCCACAAAGTATTTTATCTGTAGCTGGTGCTGCTGGAAGGAGAGGATTTATATGACACTGGTTTCCTGTTGGAGTGCAGCAAAATTATTCCCTCAGCTTGGACTTCTGCCCTTCTTCCCTAGGAAAGAATCCCAAGGCCCAGTGTGGAGAGGAGCACACAGATCCCTCTTGGAGCCCATGTCAGCAGTACAGGGAGCGACTGGGAGGGTGTCAGAAATGTGATGTGTGACATGAGCCCCAGTTAAGTGTTGCAGCAGCCTTAGCTGTGACTGGCCCTGTGCAGGAGGAGTGTGTGCTTGAGTTTACCCTTTCCCTGGAGCTGTGGTGCCTGAGAGCTGTTGTCAGCAGCTCTGGAACACCTGCCTTCCATACCTTATCCTCACCAGGTAGCATTTCTGTCCCCAGGTGCATTTGCATAAGCAGAGTCAGAATTGGACTGTTCCAGCTGTGTCTGTCCTGGTGCTGCCTTCTTAAGCCCTGAACAAGCTTCTCAGGGTACTCAGGTACATGGGAATGAGACTGGGAATGCCCTGAGATTCTGGGAATGAGGCTCATGAGGTGCTCAAAATAACACAGTCCCTAGCAGTTCGTGCAGTCACTCACAGGACAGTTGTGTTGAGCCGGGCTCGATGCCATTGCCAGGGCTCACATGGGGATCCAAGCTCTTTGTTCCTTGGGATGCTGACTGAATGTGTTTTTGGCAATATTACCTTCTTTGGTGGGCTACTAGAATATGTTTTAGGTCAAATTCAGCTCCTAGGTGTGAACTCTAGCAACTAAGGTTAAATAAATCTTAATGAGACTTCCAGTGTTGCCATTAGCTGTGTTAGAACAGCTTTGTGAGGAGCCATTCCCAGAAAGTGATAAATGTTCTGTACAAGCTGCTGTGTAAAGTGATCCCACCTGCCCTCTCATGAGGAACATCATGATAATATTCAAACCCTTTGAGGAACCTTCAAGAAATTCTGGGAATCAGCATCTCAGCCAGGTGCAGAGTGAGACAAGACACAGTTAATGATGTATCTTTCTGTTGATGCTCGTAACCTTTATTTGGTCACTGCTAGAAAACAGATACAATTAATTCCCTTTCCTCCCTCTGGTTATTTTAAAACTTGTGGAGTGTTATGATTTTATTTATTTCTTTTCATGTAACTTTTGCTTGCATGAAGCATTTGTGGCAGTTCCCCTGACTGAATAATCTAAATCAGCAAAAGGACTCTCTTATTACTGAAACCCTGACTATAGGAGGACTTGTGATGATCTTTCAATGTTAAGCAAGTTGGTTTTTTTTCCCTGCTAACCTGTTAGCATTTTACTGCAGAGGAAAAGCCTCTAGTCAAAAACTCATTTTCATTTTTACCAAGTTGATGCTTTCTCTGTCTCATGTAAGTAAGATCCAGGCTTGTGGGTACCAGGATACCAAGAAAATTTAAGATTTTTAACTTTAGGCAAACACAAGATAATTTAATGCAACAGACAGGAGAGAGGTCCAGCACAGATGTCTAATGTGTTAGTTTTATTTAAAGATGGTCTGTCAGTGCTAGCGTAAGAAATGTTCTTTAAAAAAACATCAAATAAATAAATAAATAAATAAATAAAAATAGGAATAACTTTCTGTTGAGGAGCTTAGAAAGCATCTGGCTTTCATCTTGGGAGGAAGGGGTACTGTAAAGCATTCTTCAGAGCAGGGAATAGGAAAGTTGATCCTAATTTCTCCGGGAACCTGCAAACCAAACATGAAATAAATGTTGTTAGAATCTGTTTTTGTCTTGGTACATGTCACCATTGTCAGCAGTGCTTTTGAAAAACCAGCACTAGCTTAAATACTGGGCTCAAATTAATTCCATTCTCAAACTGTGTCTTTCTAAAGACTTAAATGAGAAGCTGTTCCCTCCCTGTCCCACGGCACGGACACGGTCTGTGCTATTCAGGGAAGTGGCTTAGACAGGACTCACCATTGCAGCCCATCCCACTCAGGGAGCCGATCCTATCAATCCTCCTCCCAAAACAGCCAGAATCTCTCATCATCCTGGGCATCTGCAGCCCCCTCAGTCTCTTGAGGAAGGGGTTCCTGTAGGACAGAGGGGCGTTGGGTGCGATCCTGGGTTCAGCCTTCTGGTTGTCACTGTCGTCGGCGAGTTCTGACAGGATCTCCTCCTGGGTTTTGGGCTCTTGCAGGTCAGGGTTGGACTCCAGGGCTTCAATCATTGCAAACTTATCCTCCAGTCGTTCCAGCAGAGCCTGCAAGAGAAGAATTAAATTAATGAAACTCCTTGTTTTGTGGTCATTTGCTAACTCTTCCAGTGATTCTGTTCTGCATTTATTGATAGCCCACCCTAGGAACTGACAGGTTAAATCCTGGCCTTACTGGTGGTGGTTGGGTTCTGTCCTCTGCATTATTTTTCCCTGTTCACAGCAATTCCATCTATGGGAAGATACAGCTTCACCCTGTGAAGCTGGTTGCCACCATGTGTGTTTTACTGGCAAGGTTAGAAGATACTTTGGCAGAGGAGAGGATGCAAGATGTGGGTTGCACAGGGAGATACCACTCAGCCACCCATGGTACAGTCTGAGAGAACCTCTAGCCAAATAGCCCGCTCCCACATTCCCAGAAGTTGCTGATTTTTCACCCCTGGCTATTTCAGTGGACATCACTTGGAGAAACTCTTGGTGTTTTCACTAATCTCTGCCCCAGGGATTGCAGGATTACTCCTTAAAAGTAACTGAAAATACCTGTGTGGTAAAATCATGTGTGATTGCTTCCTGGGTACCATTTGTAATTTGTAAAGCTTTGTGTCAGATAACCTCCTCAAGGGCAGCTCAACCAATTAGAGGAATGTAATTTCACATCTCTAGAATATGAATAGAGAGGAATGAGCCTTATGGCTTGCCTGACAGTGAGTGCATTTGGAAGCCACTCTTCCTGGCTGCTGAAAACAGCCCAGAGGCAGCTTAGCTTCAGTTGTCCTTATTAGCTCAGGGAGTTTGTTCTTAGGGCCTGAGAACAGCTTTGAGAAGCTGGGTACTGGTACCAGCCCAAGGAAAGGTTTGAGCTTTCAGATCCCATCAGAGTCTCAAGTTTGTACTGTGCTGTAACAATGGATTTTCTTTATAATTTATTAAAATTCTTAGCTGGTAACTTTATAACTCTGGAAGCTTTTCTGGACGAGCCACACTAAATTATTGTTACTCCTCTAGTAATATTTCTAAAAGTTTGTCTTTGGGTGCTCCGCTTTGCCTCCTCATCATCCATACACAACCAGATCTCTCAAATTCACAAAGCTAGAGCCACATGGCTGCCCTGTGGAGCAGGGATAGACAGACAGCAGGACAGACAGGACCCCACCTCAAAGTTTTCTGTTTGTTCTTATGGAGCTACTCTGATGATTTTTTTCCTTCCCTGGAACTTTGTTCCCAGGAAGATGTATCTTCAAAAGAAAAATAACTGAAATGCCAAAGCAGATATCCTACAACATCCCAGTTTTGGTTCCCACTGCTGTCCAGGAGCTCAGGTGAACCAAACAAGGGAAGATATTTCCCTACAGATCTTCTCTGAACCCCTTTGTAGAGCTGAGGCTTTGTCCCCTGGCATGCGATGGCTGATGTGGTTATTGCAGTCCAGTCATGCAAAAGGAGGGCAAAGCACCAGCTCACACTCCAAAAGCACACCTCACACCCCAAAAGTTTAAAATGAGAGTGCTCACCTCCATGCTGGCCAGTTCTTTGGCAGGGCTGAGGCTGTAGATAGGGTTGGCTCTGCTGGGCTGGAGCTGGATGAGCAGCAGCAAGAGGAAGCCATAGAAAAATGAGCCTTTAGTGTCCATGGCGCTGACTTGGTTGGGAATGGGGAAGTTCAAGCTGTTTCTTCTGAGATGTCCCTTCAAGTCTCTCTCTTCCTTGTCCTGTAGTCTGTCTTCTGAAGCTTGTCTTTTATACTCTTTGGGTGATCCCTGCTTCCTAGGTTATCAGTGGGTTTATCTTGGGCACATTCCAGTCCCACTGCAGGCATGCAGCTCTGTCAAGGGAAGATTCCCTTTATTAGCTGTCATTAGGCAGCAGCTGCTGTTGCTGAGGAATGTATGTCACAAGTCAGTGATTTCATGTCACTCCCCCTCCTCTTGATACCAGGCGCTGTGATTACATAGTCCAGTTGGAAATTCTTAGCAATTCTCTTTCAAGAGACCCCTATGGTCAGATTTACAGAGATGGGAAACAATCCCAAAACTCCTCTAAACTTTGCTCAGTTAGAAGATTTCCATAAGGAAATTGCCTTTTACAGGGGAAACAACAGGCTTTCAGATGAGTATTTGTTGAAGAGTCAAGAATGAAGATAAATTGACTTTCAGGACGTGCTTTCCTTCTATATATGGAATACGCACGGCCACCGCACACCACGGAGTGTGCTGAAAATCCCAGATTTTTTTCCCATTGCTGCTGAGGTGATATCACCACTGAGATTTTGTGTTTTACCAACAAGGGCAGCACCTCAATCTGCACCTCAGTGCACACTGAGAGCGAGTGCCTCCAGCCCTCCGCGACAATCGGCGTCGGCACCGCTGAAAAGCGTTAGTGTTTATTAACAGCCAAACTTTTAAATAATGGGATTTCTTTAAGAATTGATGGTAAGGCTTGACCCTGCATCAATAAAATTTAAAGAACAATCAGTCAGATTCAGCAATAATCTTCTTTTACAAGAAAGAAACTTGTTTGATGAGAATTTAAATAGATAGCTTTTGGTGTTATTCAGAAAGGTATCAGAATTTGTCCCAAAGAAAGAACGGGTGAATTTGTGTGTATGTGTGTTTTGTGAGGAGTTAAAACAAAATCTTTAATTTAATGTATCAAAAACAAAAAGTATTTATTTGTTTTGTTACATGCTGAATGTCTTAAAATTAGCTAGCAACTGCCTATTCTTAAATAAGGAATTACAAAAGTACAGAAATGCTTCAAATTTCTCTTCCACTGTTGTCTTTGTGCTTATAGTATAACTAAAAATTAATCTTTTTACAGAAATGCAAGAGTTCTAAATCGTGAAGCAATGGCTTTTTTTACATTTTCCTAATGTTTCTTGTTATTTTAAATTGAAACAACAACAAATGTATGAGTAAGTTGAATGTCAGTCTAGTAATAATTTGTTGACTCTTTATATGAACATAGATCTTAAAAGAATCTCCTGAGTACACTTTCACAATAATAGAATGATAAAATATTTCCCATGTCTTAAATGTCTTAACATGGTGTTTATGTACAAACATGTGCACATACTGTTCACATGATCAGCTACCAAAATTATACTAGAAAGGACATTCTCAAGGTTGTGAAGTCACACTCAAATGCTACTTTTGCTATTTTTACCTAATACATCCCAAAGTCAGCCCAACTCTGCATATGTTCTGATGAAGTATTTTATTATAAGAGCTCTATTTTTCCTCAGTGTTTTTCTTTTCAGAATATGGAGGCAATACTAGTTTTTTCTATTATTATGTGCTCCAACACTTTCCTATTTTAAAAATTAGCTAAGATCCTGATAGTTTCATTTTTAAAATTAACAATCTGTACTGCAGTGTCTGTATAATTCGTTAATTAATTACAAGTATTCTCTTCCTGCTGCTCTTGCTGTGTGTATGTTTGTGCCAAGGTGTTAGTTTGTTTTGTAAACTGCAAAAATGGGAGAAGATAAACCAGAATTATTCATTGATTTTGAGTGTCCAATTTAAGATAATTAGAATCTGTTATTGTTGTAGTTCTTGTTTCTTTCCTTTCACACCCCCCTACACACTAGGTATTCTCTACTGCTCGCTCTGTACAAAAATATTTGTAGCTTGCTCTGAGTTTTCCTTTGTGTCTGTTTTTTGGGGTATTTTTGTACAGCAGCCCCTGGAGCACAAACCCAGCAGCAAGAAATTGAGAGACACAATATTAAAATCTCAGATGTGAAATATTTTGCTTTGAGTGACCTGTCCCTGTGAAACAATCTAATTTCCCACAATTTTAGTCATTAAGTTGGACCCTGAGATTATCTTTTCTTTACTGCTTCATTCCTTTTCATCTTCTGTGTTCCATGGCAGATAAATAAGATGCAGCAGCATGACTTCAGCCTCAACAATACTTTTCTAAGACAGGAAGTTTTGTGCTGTATTCCATGTACAAAGTGTAGAGGTGGGATTAAATGACTGCCCAGCACAGCAGCAGCTGTATTTTCACAGCCAAATTCTGCCCTCGATTATCCATCTTACAGTTCTGCTAAAGCAGAAATGTCAGAACTCAGCTCATCATTGTTAAAGCTATAAAAGTCACTTGTTTATCTCAGTGTTATCACCTTGGTAAATTAATATGAACTTTAGGCTTTATAGCCCAGTAGTGGAGAGTCAAGATCCAGGCGTTGTCCATGCTCAGCTGGGCATTTCCCTAGTAAAATGTCTGCCTTGGCAGAGCAGCAGGGTCTTCTAAGAAGCTTACTGTGACTGGTTTTAGGGTTGGGAATCTGTCCCATTTCCCCCTTCCCAGGGGATGGGATGGGAGGTGTGGTGACATGAGGCTGTTAGAGCAGCTCTGGTTGCTCAGATCAGAGAGGGAGAGCACCAAGGGTTCTGCTGGCAGCCCATGTGTGGATCCTGTGATGACGATGGACAGAGCTCAGCTGAGGTGACGTTGTCCCTTCCCCTGCAAGATGATTCTGTGTCCTTGTTTTTCAGCCCTGTAAGGCTAAGGACCACAAACCTGGGGGCTGGCACCATGTGGGTTCCATCTGCTGATGGATGGACCTGCCCCAGGTGCTGCCCTGACCTGCTGCACATCCTGCCGGTGGTGTCTGTCCTCCTGCTGCCATTCTGAGCTGGAGAGTGTGAGCTGCTTGTACACAGCCTCCTGTTCTGAGGAAGAGGCTGCAATTGGATTCCTTTCATCTCCCAGTGACAAAACCTTCGATAAAACTATGCCACATCCCACCCAGGCTCTCTCCCTGCATGTTAGTTAGCTTGAGAAGGAAATTAATAGATGAGGCCATCAGACAAGGATCAAAACACAAATATAAAAATGTATGGAGTGGCCATCCTGCAATGAAGTGCTGCCTCATTTCTCATTTTTTCCAAGGGGAGAAATTAATTTTCATCCTAAACACGGATTGTTTCTCCCGGTGATCGTGATACAGTATCTCTGAGTTGCGGCTGTCCCTTCCTTTGCTGAGTGCAGGCTGCAGGGAGCCCCGGGCAGGCGCTCGGGGCGATTGGCGTCTGTCCCGGGTGCTGAAGCCCTCGCACCCCTTCTCCTGCAGCGGCAGCGCTGCCCGGTGTATTTTTAAAGCCATGGAGCCCCTCTGCCTTTAGAAATCCCCCTGTGCCAAGCCTGGCACTGATGCGGCTCAGCCCACGGTACAGCGGCGTGTGTAGGACACTACCTGGAATTAACCCCTATCCTCCGGGGAGGATTCCCTGGTGGCAGCAGTGAAGCCGTCGGGAAAGGCGTGGCTTTCTCACTGCCACGGTCCCATTTCAGTGCAGTGTGCAGGGTCACTGACAGTCATGGAAAGATACAACCAGCATCCTTGCTGCTGCTGCGAGCCTCCAGCAAAAGGCTTTCCAGAACGGGTGGGACGTTCTAGGCAGAGTCAGGATGGAGAGGGAGACGAGCGGTCTGGAGGGGGTTTTGTATCCTCTGACCATCTGCTAAACCGTGACCGAAAAAAAACCCCACTCAAAAAAGGCGATGTAGGCTTGGCACCAAGTTTATTGCTCCGTGCCCCACTGCCGTGTCGGGTCCGAGGGCAGCCTGGTGCTATGGCTGCTGAACCGGAGACTCAGGAACCTCTGGGCAGCCGGTGCCGGCTTCAGCTCCTCCATCTGCTCCAGAAACCTGTGAGAGGAGCTCAGAGAGCTGCGGGGGGAGCCGCTCCGAGGCTTTCAGCGGGGACAGCGGCAGCTCCCGGCGGCAGCCCCGGCCTGCCCCGCTCCGCCCCGGGCTCTGCTGCTCCCATCGCAGCCCGTCTGCGCTCCGGCTCACCCATCCTCGTCCCTAAGCAGCGGCAGAAGTGTCTCTGTCGGAGGGAGGACAGGCGTTTCCTTCACTCCTTCACCGGCTCTGTCCCTCGGCTGGCCGGGGAGGGCTGGGGCCGGGACCGGAGCCGGGAGCTCCGGATCGCAGCCGCCGGCCTCAGCCCCGGCCCCCGGCTCATCTCCCACCCTCGGCTGCCCTTCCTCTTCCCGGAGCTGCCGCAGCGACTGCAGGAGACCCTGGAGAGGAAAGGGAAGGAGAGGAGGGACGGAGAGCGCCTCTCCTCCGCTTTGCCCCGGCGGGACGGGTGCGGGTGGCCGCCCTGGAGCCCCGGCCCCGGGACCTGCAGGCACCGCACCTCCGCACCGAGCTCCTCTGCCCAGGGCATAGCGAGCAGCAGCAGAGAGCCGGGACCTGCATCCTATCCCTGTCCCTATCCCTATCCCTATCCCTGTCCCTGTCCCTGTCCCTATCCCTGTCCCTGTCCCTATCCCTGTCCCCATCCCTGTCCCTGTCCCTGTCCCTGTCCCTGTCCCTGTCCCTGTCCCTATCCCTGTCCCTGTCCCTGTCCCCATCCCTATCCCTGTCCCTGTCCCTGTCCCTGTCCCTGTCCCTGTCCCCATCCCTATCCCTGTCCCTGTCCCTGTCCCTATCCCTGTCCCTGTCCCTGTCCCCGTCCCTATCCCTATCCCTATCCCTATCCCTATCCCTATCCCTATCCCTATCCCTATCCCTATCCCTATCCCTATCCCTGTCCCTATCCCTATCCCTATCCCTGTCCCTATCCCTATCCCTATCTATCCTTTTCCCCATCCCCATCCCTATCCCTATATCCCCCCCTTTCTCTATGTCTATCATGTAGATTCTGCATTGCTTCTTTGCCCATGGATGTCTGTCCTTCTATCCCCACTCTGCCCGGAGGGAGCTCAGCTGCCTCCTGCCAGACCCCTTTAGAAGCTGAGGTGCTGCACTGGAGCCTCTGGCATCAATAAGGGAACAGTGGCAACTGCCCCACAGGTCACCCTGCAGGAGCTGCTCCAGAGGGACAAAAGTGCCCTTAGCCATCTCCCCTGCCTGGCACCAGCTCTTCCAGCGATTTCCTTTCCCTCCACTCTCCATCACTGTTAGGAAGGAGTTGATGCAGTGAAAGAACTTTGCACTTTCAGCCTGTCTGCTCTGCCTCAGACACACAGGAGCTGAGAGCTGGGTTGATTTCCCCTCCAGGGGGCTGAGGGATAGATCATTTCTCCTTGAGGGAGACAAGTGGGAGGAATTGAAAGTGTTCATCTGTCTGCAGCAGCTCTTGGGACAGCAGCTTTTTCATCTCTGTATACAAATTTCTGTGCTATGTGAGTAGACCATGTCCCGAGACTTGGGTTTAGGAGATTTTCTTTCTTTGAAAGTTCCTCTGGCATTGTCACCAAACCCTTCCTTACCTTTCCCTCTGTAAGAGGCAGAATAGCAGGCTGGGTCCTTTCATTCACTGCCTGGATAATATTAAAACAATTTCACTAAGCCTCTGCCTTCTGCCTTCTTCATTTGCTTAGAATGGAATGAAACCAGCAATATCAACTGGTGTGGGACAGTGATTTTTGCATCCAGCTGTTTTAACAGCTGGCAAGTGGGTTTGTTTAAAGCAGCACAGCAATGAACCCAGCAGAGAAAGGAGATGTGTGTTTTGAAAGCACAGTACCTGAATGAAGGATGATGTCAGGTGAGAGGGTTATTGTTGATAGAAAATGAAAGCAGATCTGGGTGAGGATGTGCATTATCCTCAATTTCATGTGTACTGAAGACAGGAGTGGAGAAGGATAAAGCAGTGAGACTGAACAGGATCTGTGTGATGATCAAGGGGAATAAATAAAACTGGCCCTCTATTAATAAACTAGCCAGAAGTGAATATTTGATGAGACCAAACCTCAATTGCTGCCTAACATCACTTAAAATCAGGTACATCAAAAGCACACATATTTGAGAAGATATCTGCTTGTTTCTTTCCATATAGGAGTTCTTTTATTGGAGGCTTTTCTCCTCAGCAACTGCTGTTACACTGGGCTGTAAATTCATGCACTGCTTCTTAGCAAAGATGGAAATGGCACAGCTCAAGATGAGCTTCCCTCATCTGACTGGCATCCTCACTTCAAAGCTTAGCTTTGATTATTTAAATGCTAATAGAACTCAGCAAATTACCTGAATTACAAACACACCTGGCTTCAGTCCTGGGGATCTAATTATAGAGCCTTTAATGTGAAATAAATTGTTCTTGCTTTGAGAAAAGTGCCTTTTTAAAATGTTTCCACAAAATGCCAGCTGATGGCACATTACCAGCTCGACCTCTGTAATTGCAACTCTTATCTGTTTCTTATTCACCTTCTGAAGGATTCTTTTCACATGTGCTCACAGCTCAGACTTCAACCAACTCTGAACTCTTTTATTTTTCTGCAAATAAACTTCAGCAGTGCTTGTCCTTCACTGGGTTTTCAGTGAAATTTCAACATTAAAAACCCTTTATGTCTGTGAGATCCTCCCTGCTGCAGAGTTACTGGGAGCTGTGAACAAGCTTTAGGCTCAGATTTATTTGAAAGGAGGCTGTAAACTTCCCATTAGCACCAGCTCTACATTGTTTGACACCCTGATGGGCTCTGGGGATTATTAACCTTTCCACCACAGGGGCTGTACCTGGGCCAGCCCTGGGGTAGCACACCTGAAGAGGGACTCCAAGAAAGCTGGATGCTTTCTGTTGAGCTCCCCCAAGTAAGCAGATCTGCTTCTTCTTGGCCTAAGTAAATACTTGGTTTTAAGCCATGTATAGACCAGCTATTGGTATGGAATTACGCTGGAAGAATAACACAATTTTCATCCTGGACTTTAATTCTTTATTTGATTGGCGGAAATCTTAATTTTCTTGTGATTTCTTTTCTTAGGAAAGGCAATTCAGAGTGTAATAAATTCATTCTGGACTAATCCATCAGTGGAGAGCTGTCTATATTGTCTATGCATATGGCAACAAATAGTTTTCACAGCTGCTGCTGCTTTGTTAATAAAGTTAATTTAAACATATTAGCTAGCAAACAACATAAGACCTAACCAAAAATGTTAAACAAAGAAGCCTTCAGGATATGTTTTTCAATTTTCTTCTCAGTGCTTTGAAATACCTGGATCTGCCTATAGAAGAGTAGGGTGCCTTTGAATTTCCTTCAAAGGAGGGTAGTATTGTTTTGGGTTTTTTTTTTTTTTTTGGTTGGGGGTTCTTTTTTTCTTCTTTTCTTTTTTTTTTTTAATGAGTTATACTACTAAGAAAAATTTGTTTTTCTCCATCAGTGGCAGATCTAAACACAGAGTCACTGCTCTCTAGTGATGTCTGCTAAGAGAGCTGCCCTTTGTTCAAACTGTGGGGCAGAGACTTGGGGCTTTGTGTCCTGGTTTGTGTTTAGCAGACAGAAGCCCTCTGAAATGCTCCTGAATTCTCATGTCTAACTGCAAACTAGGGCTCTGGTTCAGGAATGAAATATGAACAAACCACACAGCAAGCCTTGAAGCAAATTCATTACATTATGGAAAACAATTTATTACCTGTGATATAATGAGACTTGTTCATTTATACATTCAGTAAACAAACAGTACAAATGTATTTTCTGTAGTTAATTTTCAGATAGATGTTCACAAATAACTACTCTGATACAAACAGGCAGTAGAGCAAAGGTGTGTTCTGTTGGCCAGGTATATCAGAGGAGAGGTGTGTGCACATCAGGTAGAAAGCAAGGGGTGCTTTGAAACACCACAGTCCTGTCAATAAAGATGAATAAGTAATAGAAAGATAACCATACAGCATTTCACACATGGAAATTAACTGGTTTCTCACTGTTCTAGTGGCAGATTTAGCCCCACTCTTCTGCTCAGAATTTATTTGGACTGAAACAAGTATCCCTGTGGAGCTGGTGAAAAAGCTCTCTCATCTTCTGATACAATATGAAATGCTTACAGCTGACTCAGAGGAAGGAGGGAAAGCAAGTAAAGCAGAGGTGTGGCATTCACAGGTTTTAAGTCTACATCAGTGAATTCTGAGGAAGGTAAAATAATAAACTGATAGGAAAGTAAAACTTACTTTAAGGCACCATTTCCTTGAAGCTGAATTAACGCTGCTTTTTTGCATATTTCTGTAAGTTATACATGAATACACAGAATAGCAGCCTCTGCCTTTCTCTTACCATAGCAGAGTCAGCATCCTAGTCCACTCAGTGACCCAATTCTGTCTAATCTGACACCAAAACAGCCCCTGGAGAGCCCCTTTTTTCTTCTGCCTTGGTATCTACGGGACAAGCTCAGGAGGTCACTGAAGAATCTCTGGATCGCGCCGTCGCCCATGGAAACGTTCTCGGGCTGGTCCCTGGGGTTTGGGATCCACTGGAGTTCAGTGTCTTGCTGATCAAAGACTCCTGCTGGGATCAGCTCATCTTGCTCGTGGTCCCTCTCTTCTGAGACAGGGGGCTGCTCCAGCTCCTCATTTAACAATTTGGCCAGATTCTGGAAAAAGGGAAGGGAAGGGAAGGGAAGGGAAGGGAAGGGAAGGGAAGGGAAGGAAAAAAAAAGAAATCAGAAAATTCCAATAACAGCTGAAACTTTCAGTTAAAAGAACTTTATAACAGAAATACCTCCTCCTCCTCAAAAGACAGAATGCTTAAAGCAGGTGAGTATTTTTTTTCCCAAGCAAAAAAATCACAGAAAAAAAGTAGTTCTAGGCTAACCAAAGTCACAGCTTCAGGTCAAAATATACATTGGTTCAGCAGGGAAAAAGGAAAAAAAAAAAAAAA